TAGAATCCTTTAAAATTTTAGAAAGAAAAAACAAAAATTACAAAAATAAAGCGGGCTTTTTTTAGACTATCGCATCCACGATGTAGTCATAAAAAAGTAAGTCGCACACATGCATAACCGAAATGTACGCACAATGTCCCCAACACATCCTAAGAAACTACCAAAACACCTCACACTAATCCAAAGCTCACGCACACTGACACAAAATCACATCCTTATAGGCCGTCTATTATTCAAATCACTAACACGCTTGCATTATTTACTCCAAAAATTACTCACACGCAGACAAAGTCCGTATCGGTGAATGCATGTGAATGCAATATTAAAAGTATCACGACAGTTCACTCACACATGCATGCGTTTGTTTGGTTGGTGTGTGTAAGTGGGTCACAGAGATAGGAGGGACACGTGTGGAGGGCTGGCCCTTTATTAGTGTAGTACAGCTATGCTAGAAATCAAACTATACTTTTTGAAATATATTAATAGGATTTCAACTATTTTATTATATTTTGTCAGTGTGTCACAATCTATTTTTTTTACTAATCACACATCGTTAGCCTGTGACATTCCACTACCGGACAAAGGTTTCTCCTGCACCGTCATTTATCCACGGACATGAGCTTTTTGTGAACTTTCTTTAAGTATCGCTTGCTTAAATACACACGGGACGTGAAATATGATGAGTGTAGAGAACCGAAGACCCTTTTTAATGGAAACGAGGCATCCCATCGCAGTTCTCAGGGTTGACAACGCATCTGCATTTTGATTCTGAAACTAAAATAAATGTAGATGGCTGTGGGCCACAGCATTCATCTACTGTTAGGTGGACTGATTGCTAGTTTATCCCCCCATTATATAAAAAAAAATTCGTGCGATGGATCATTTTGTCACCAATCGGCAGTAATTATGTATCATGTAATCAATTTGTCTAAAAATATGTTGAAATGCAAATGTTTGCACAAACTGCACGAAAATTTCGATACTAATTATCGTCAGTCGGGCGTAAATGCAATTGCAATACCAATTCTTAATAGTTGTTTTTTTTTGCGACAGGCTTTGTAAACGCACTAATGATTATTGACTAAGTCTTGCGTCAAATTTAAAAAGAAATGTCAGCCCTTCGCACAGCAACAAATGCCCTGCGCCGGCACATCGTTGGGATGATATCGTGCTTGAGAGCGTTCACCCGGCCTCCTCTCCCCCTCCTACCCCGCCCAGGTCACTCTCGAACGTGACGGGAAAATTGGGTTTTCATTGTCAAAAATTATACACAACTCCCTTTAAACAGGAAGCTAAATAAACAAATTCTTTTTATAACATCGATAATATATTAACAGAAGAGTGTGGTCTGCAAGATGATGTTGTGACTAGGATTAAGAATGGAATACTTGGGTGGTTTGGTCATGTAGAAAGAATCAATAAGGAAAGAGTGACATAGCAAATTTATGTTGCAGAATTGAACGGCAGAGTCAGAAAGGGACGTCCTAGGTGATATTTTATCGACCAAATTGGCGATATATTGAAAACAGGCCAAATTTGAAGTATCCTTAACCGAAGAACATGTATGCGTAGGTACCTATATGGATGTGGAGGAGGCGAGAGAGGTGTGTCAGGATCGTGCTAAATGGAAATCTGTAGTATCTGCCTACCCCTCTAGGTGACAGGCGTAAGTGTTTATGTTTATTATGTTATGTTATTAACAGTATCTGACCTAAAAAATCCATTGTTTATTGTTTATGCTTACAAACAATATGAGTAATGAGATAAATTGATCAAGTTGAACTAAATGGTTAAACTAGATAAAGGGACACCAGACGGCAAAACTCCAATATCGTTTTAGGGTTCGACTATAATACATTAAAACCCATACTTTTCGTTTTTTTTTTCCTTTGTACAAATAAGCCGTAGTAGCATTTTTATAACATTTATTGTAAATTAATAAGTATTTAAAAAAATCACGCTGCTTTCCTTCTTGATTCTTCGTAAGACGGTTTCTAAAAGAGTGGTAAAAGCATAAACTTTCCATAAATATTCTTTTAATTTATATATTTTCTAAATTATATACTACAATATAAGTTATTATTTACAGTATTTATTTCCATAGTAAAAACAACTAAAGCTAACAACTTTAATTGTAATACAGTCCTACTAGCTTGTCAGGCAGACGTTGTTCTGCCCTTTTCGACGACTCTCCGTCATGTCATATTAAAAATCCTTATATTCAAAAAAAATTGTGGGTCACTCATGGGCAAAAAAACTATCCTATCTCTCAAGTTGGACCAAACTGCACACGGTGTGCAAATTTGAATAAAATTGATTAAGTAGTTTAGGAGACCATCGCGGACAAACAACGTGACACGTAATTTATATATATTAAGATAATATAAGTTATTATTTACAGTATTTATTATCATAATAAAAATTAATAAAACTAAAAACTTTAATTGTAATAAAGTCCAATAAGTTATCAGCAAGAATACGGAGCGGGACTACTATAATAACTACGGTACAGTGCCAAGTATATAGAGGTCTATGTCCAATTGTAAATGCCAGAATCTGATGATGATGATAAAGGTTGTACATTGCCTTAACATATTATGATTATATACTATATAATACATGAGGGTAATATGTTCACTCAGTTAATATGCTCACTTTCTTGTTACTCGAAAACTATTGCCCTGTTTTGCATAGAAGACTCTGTGATACGATAGTTCACCAATAAAATACTAAAAGGTCAAAAGGGCGATGCTTAATTGACGCCATTTTGACAATTGACATTATAGTAAATATGGCAGTCGATTTTAGTATGGCCTAGTGTAGTTACGTTTTTAAGTAAATTTTTTGAAGTGTTCCTAATTATTGCCAAAGCTTGTTTGCTACTATTTTCTTAATATATTAGTTACAGTATACGACTTTGTGTTTTTGTCGTTGTTTTCGTCATGTCTTTGGGTTGGTTTTATAGGGTGGCAAAGCTTAAGGTGACTTAATGGTGATATTACCCTCACGTACCTTATTAGATATTATTATACTCCCTATATTATATTACGATCGCTGTACATTTCACAGTACGCGAGCAACCCGGGTTTGATCCCCGCCGGCATAAATGAAATCGTTAATAAAACTTAATGTGCTTGATATATTACGTGTTCGGTGGTGAAAAAAGCAAAATCTTGAGGAAACCTGCATGTCAAAAAAAATTGAGGAGATTTGAAGTTAAACACGCATTGGGGCAGCGTCGATCATTCCCCCTAAAGCTGACTTAGAATGAGAGGAGTCAGGTGCCTATCAATAGGATGTATATAGGCTGTAAGTTTGTACCAGGTGGTACTACGCTTTGCAGCCTCCCTGTTCCTCCATGTACGCGAGGAAAACGAGTTGATCCCGCCAGCAATAGAATTAGACGTTAATTTGCGGAAATCAATTATATTAACGTGGTAATAAATCCTAAAGTTTTTAAAAAATAGAATTAGGGTGACAAACGAGCACACAGTTCACCTGATGGTAAATGGATGCTGTGGCTCATAGACTTTTTTTATTTCGATTGCCAACATAAGAAACAGCAATTAATGTTTGGTTACATTACAGCATTATAAATTTTACATGATTAAATGCTCTTATATTTATGGGCAATCACAACATGCGTTGTGTTATATCTATATTTTATACGTGGTAGAGTGCTATGCTGCAGTTATATTAGTAGTATAGTTGTAGTACGAATGGGTCGGCTCGACCGGGGAAGGACCACGCTCTCACAGAATACCGTGAAATAATAGCTTAATGCTGTAATGTTTCGTATAGTGAGTGTAGAGAACCGGAGACCATATATATATATATATATATATATATATATATATATATATATATATATATATATATATATATATATATAAAATAATCAATAAACTGAACAAGGGTATCATGGTGAACTTCAAGGTCGGGTACATTTTTGGTGAGCTCGTTGTACAGGCGAGATATACATCGCGACATCTCTACATTTATCCTCGATTAAAACGCAGATGTGTTGTCACCCCTGAGGACTACGATTGAATGCCTCATTTCCAGTAAAAAAGGATCTTTTGATTTCGACACTCATCATACGAAACACAGCAGCATTAAGCTGCTATTTTACGCTGGTATTCTGTGAGAGCGTGACCATTTCCCGGCCGACCCGACCCATTCGTGCTACAACCATAATATAGCAATCACGTATAAGACACACACATACAGCATATATTCCAAATTTCAATTATATCTTAAACAAAAACGTCTGTGTGGAATAGATATGCAGACACCAAGATGATAACATACGCTCATAATCCCGGACGTCGTTTTTACCGAACTTGGCCACCTTTTCACAGTCATTTTTGGTGTGATATCATAAATTTTTGAGAAAAGAAAACAGTGAAGTGGAAACGCAACAAACCCTCGACATGCGTTTACGCTTCACTGTTTTTTTTTTTAATTAATGATATTAGAATTCTATGTCGACAAAGTTGTTACTGTATGTATAGAAGTGTCAAAAAATTATAACACATTAGTATGTTTTTTATCAGATTTGTTATTAGTATTTTTTAATTATTATAATCAAGTCCTTGATTGTACTCATATTATTATTATTATTTCTAGTAGTCGCCTCATTACCTACCATAATGCCAAATTTCCAATTTTCAATTTTTCTAGTACGTAGTGTTTTGGTGAGCGACTGAGTCAGTGAGTGAAAAAAGGTGCTTTTCAGAACAACAGCAACAACTTTTAACAATAATTCAATATCTATAATGTGTTTATTTATTCATGAAATATTATTCAGAGTGGTCTTATTAGATATTATGCACAATAATTGCAAGTGAGTAGGTAGGTTAATAAAAATATATACATTGCTGGTGCGTCGTTCTTTTATTTTCAGAGCTTGGTTGAAACTTCAACGCAGTCAGTGTGTTCATGTGGTGCCAGTCAATATTTATTGCAGCGGTCCCCATATTTAAGTATGCGTGTTAATTATGAAAATAAGTGGGAACCTCGAACAAGCTGCTAAAAAAGATAAAAAATATTCATGGTATGTGCATTAGGTACCAGGCTATAAGGCAAACATAAAAGCTAGGCGGTGCAATGGAAAGCGACGCGAAGGACACCGGGTGTAGCAGCGACGAATTTCACCGCGGTCGAATGTTCAACCGAAGCAGTAGACCGGCGCGTGTTTATGCAGTCCTAGTTACTAAATTCATATAAATTCCCTAACGAAGGACCTAAAAACTCGGGGAAGAGGGTCTTTTTATTAGATTTTTTTATTATCATATGGCATATCATGGCATATCCAAAACAGTGCGGCTTTCGACTCTTATTACTCTTATGGTACTACATACGAGTATAAGGATGTTATACAATATAGGGGTACGTAATTAGTAAATTAAATATAAGCAATAGTTTATTTTGATATCTTCTATATTGTAATTTTTTTTAAATACCGTTACCCCTGGATTTTCTCCTGCGTCCCGGAGGCATGTTAAATACATAATTTTTTCACGGAATAACATCCAGACCGGTAACAGTTATTTGTTAGACCATACAAATATTTGCCACATATGGGATTCACAGCCGCGGTCCTCATCGCCGTCGAACCGTCTAAACTAATCAGAATCAGAATCCAAATTTAACAAAGTTCAAAACAAAATCCGATTAAAATAGCCGACATATTCACATATTCATTATTAATAGTTGTAGTGGCAAATGACAACAAAACTGGGGGCACAAAGACGCGGAGTAACCTACATTCCTCCCCTCTTACAACCTTAAAGTCTACTCGTATGTTAGCGAAATGGACATGTCGATAGTGTGTAGGCAGAAAGCTATTTTATTTGAAAATTTTTAGTATATAATGGAATTATTTTTATTTCAAGGCCAATAATTTTTTTTTTATTAAAACTGCAATGCTGCAAATTTTCCTTCAATATAATAGCAATGAATATTTATTAATTTTAAACGTGTTAGAGCCATTCTGCAGCTATAGTTGTAGCACGAATGGGTTGCGAGCCAACTGGGGAGGACCATGGTCGCACGGAATACTAGCGTAAACTGCAGCATGATGCTGCTACGTTTCATATGGTGCGTAACAAAATCCGAACAGTATTCCATCTTTGTTCTCAGGCTGACAATGCATGTGCGTTTTGATTCTACTCGTTAATCGATTCGTTCCACGATGAGTGGTCTCTGTCGGCTTCCGCCATACTGCACTAACTTACCCGGGCTCATTCTCAGCACGTCCGTTATCTGCTCATATCAACCCTTAACTTAGCAGACATGACGGAAGGCACAGAAACTCTATCGGTCCCAGCGCCAGAAAGACTCCCACTGAAAAGGGAACCACCAAAACTCCTCCAGAGGAGACACGAGTAAAGGCCACAGAAGAGAAAGAAAAAGAGAGCTCAACGCCTAAGGCGATGCGTGCTGTCGTTCTTACTGTTTTCGGTGGACTCAAAACGGTTAAGATTCTGAAAAGGCCCGAGCCAACGGTCAGCGAAGGCGAGGTCTTTATCCGCGTTAAAGCCTGTGGGTTAAACTTCCGAGACTTAATTGTACGTCAAGGTGCTATTGATTCCCCGCCCAAGACACCGTTCATCCCTGGCTTCGAATGCACCGATGAGATCGAACAAGATGGCGAGGGCGTCACCAATTTCAAGATAACGATCAAGTTGTGGCACTACCGGAGTACAGGGACTTAGCTGGTTTCCGTCAGAGCTCAGTACGTTTACGCGTTGCCAGAGTGCATGACAGGCCTGGATGCCGTGGCCGTTACCACTAACCATCACTGATGGCCACAGGAAAAACTAACCATCAGATGGTCTTTTGCCACCCTTACATACTTCTATAATAACACAGTCAAGTCAAGTGTAACCTCATTTGTCGCCATTTATAAATTGAATGTCATATATATACTTAGAGTAGTTTTCTTAGCATAACAACAATGTATCTTCGCGAGAACGGAAGTCAAGTGGCGTGAAAAACGCGACTGTATTAAGATGCAATGTAGACCAATACTTAATTTCTGATTATGTTTTATATAAATGGAACTGAATCGACAAACAGACTTGGAATAAAACTAATTTTACGGATATTATCGCGTTTAATTTAAATTTTTTTTAATTCCCTGCGTGTCGGGCACTTTCTAGCGCCCATTGTCAGGGCGGGAGGCGTTCTGCTTTACGCAGAACTAACTTACAGTATCTTGAAGTCTTGTAGTAGTTTTCTTGGGTTTGGATTTAATTTTATTAATTATGAGATCACTAGGAGATTGGTAGCACCCAGCCATCATATTATTATTTGAAATTAGGATGTTCTTTTTAAATTTCAATAGCTTTGTGAATCACCTTAGAAGAAATTTGTGTTCTTTTGCGAGTATTTGTGGTCTATAAAATCTGATTTAATAGTTGGGACGTTATTGAACATGTTGACATACTGCAGACTTTCTGGAGCGTCGGTGCTTTACATCAACGATAGGTTCTATCACGCGGATTTTTATGGCACTTTTTGTTTGTCCTATGTAAGAGAGACCACATTCAACATCAAGTTTGGACGCTCCCGCATCGAACTTACTACTAACGAGCTTACTCAATTACTGCAGTCCATAGAATACTATAATACATACATAATAGAACGGGGGAGTGAGCGGAGTCCGCGTAGCAACTAAAATGTCACTAACACGTCAATTCACACGTATAAATGTCAACACGAGATGGGTTTTGACGTTACAATCGTTTCCAAATTTCGCATGCAAATTATTTAAAAAATGCCAAATTGCACCCTATTTATAAACAAATATGTATTAAAATTTAAACGATTTTTTAATGATGATCTTGAACATTAATTAAAAGTCTAAAATATGTGTATATTTATTCAGTCTGTCAACACAGCCAATCGGTTTGGCGACGCCAAACCTCGTACAAAATAAAGTTGACAGCCATTCTATTGTGTATTATAGTATTCTATGCTGCAGTCCATGGATTAGAGTAACAAACACCAGCCGTCAACCTCTAACAAAGGAGGTTACACACATGCATCCGATCTTAACCACTAAGTCACTGAATTCTTCTCCTACCGTCGCCGAATCATTACTTAAACAAAATGTAAATGTGTGTACAAAGAATTTTAAAAGTGTGTAAAAGAAGAGAACCGCCGATCTGTGGGGGATTTCTGTTGAAGTTATTGCGTCTATAATAGATACAATCGCACCTCAACTATCTATTATTTTTAATAGTAGTATCAAATCTGGTGTGTTTCCTGATTTAATGAAGCATAGTAAAGTAATACCTTTATTTAAATCTGGTAGTACATTGGACCCCGCTAATTTTAGACCTATTTCTGTACTGCCAACACTTAGTAAAATTTTTGAAAAAATTATTCTTGATCAATTGTTAATTATTTTTCTTAATGTAAATAAATTACTTCATAAAAATCAATTTGGTTTCACAAGGGGTCGCTCGACAACTGATGCTGGTATTGAGCTAATTAAATATATGTTTAATGCATGGGAGAATTCACAGGATGCTTTGGGTTTGTTCTGTGACCTATCCAAGGCCTTTGATTGTGTTCACCATGAAACATTAATCAGGAAACTTCAACACTACGGTGTAAGAAATGATGCTCTTAAATTAATTATTTCATATTTAAGTGACAGAACACAAAAAGTTGTTATTAATAGTATGAGTTCTTCCGGGTCGATTGTACAAATGGGCGTGCCTCAGGGCTCAATTCTTGGCCCCTTTCTGTTTCTTGTATATATTAATGACTTACCTTACATAGTAGAGGATAACCATGATATAGTATTATTTGCTGATGATACTTCATTAATTTTCAAATTAAAAAGACAGTTATTAAATTACGACGAAGTAAATAATGCTATAGCTAAGTTATTCAATTGGTTTAATGTTAATAATTTGCATTTGAATGGAACTAAAACTAAATGTATGAAATTCGTAACTCCTAATGTTAAACATGTCAATACTAATGTAATTTTAAATGGGGAGGTACTGAGTCTTGTTGATACCACCATTTTTCTTGGAATCACACTGGACGCAAAGCTTCAATGGCTCCCCCCAAATATCAAAACTATCTAGCAGACTTAGTTCTGCAGCATATGCTGTAAAAAAAGATTAGAACTCTTACCAGTGTTGAAACAGCTAGAATAGTTTACTTCAGTTATTTCCATAGCATTATGTCGTATGGTATTTTGCTATGGGGACACGCGACTGACACTGAAATTATATTTATTTTACAGAAGAGGGCCATTAGAGCAATATATAATTTAAAACCAAAAGAGTCACTGAGACAAAAATTTAAAGAAATTAATATATTAACTCTGGCCTCTCAATACATTTATGAAAATGTAATGTACGTACACAAAAATAAAAGTAGTTTTGCGAAAATAAGTGATATTCATTCTGTAAATACTAGGAACAGACACAAGCTGGTAGTACCAGTTACTCGACTCCACCGAGTCAGTAATTCATTCTTGGGGCGATGTATACGCTTTTACAACAAAATCCCAGAAAATATACAAAATTTGTCATACACAAAGTTCAAAAATGTTATTAAACTAATTTTGTATAAAAAGGGTTATTATAATATTAAGGAATTTATAGATGATAATAACCCCTGGGAGGGGTGATCGCTACCAAGCTATTTCTAATTTGTCTTGTGTTGTTGATTGTAAACATGATTGTAAGCTATTATTAAAAAAAAATAGTCCCGCTGGGTTTCTTGCTGGTTCTTCCCAGGACAGAGGTTTTTTTTTGCGAACCAGTGGTAAATTAAAAAAGTGACCTTCAATAAGTATTTTTATAATCTACATTGAATAAAAAGTTTCTATTTCTATTTCTATTTCTATGCATTGTCACGTCAGTGGGCTAATACGGAATGCCTTACAACATATATTTATACTATTTAATTATATTATTGGCTCTCAACGCAGCATTGCAAATACTGAAACTAAATGAAAAGTACTTAATCCTATTGTGATAAAAAGGGAAAAGTTCTACTTTATCAGCATATTCCTAAACATTGAGAGTGTTTTGGAGTAGGAAAGAGTCCGAAGCACTGTCCTAATGCATGGATTCGAAGTATTTCTAGATGTTGAAACGTATATATTTCCATAAATTTTATTATCTTTTTTATATAGAATAAGGCTGACAAACGAGCATACAGTCCACCTGGTGGTAAGTAGATGCTGAGGACCATAGACATCTACATTTATCCTCGATTAAGAATCAAAACGCAGATGCGTTCACTCCTGAAAACTGAGATGGAATGCCTCGTTTCCAGTAAAAATAGTTCTCCGGTTTTCTACTCTCACCAAACGAAACAAAGAAGTATTAAGCTGCTTTTTACGCTGGTAAATTTTTAATAATATAATAATTTTTGTTTGTTTGTATTTTATGTGCTGCCATACCGTTCATCAGATTGCGGTAAAACTTTGTCAAAGTATAGCTTGCACTTCCACAAAGTTCATAGACATAGTTGAAACATAGGTGGCTTTTTGGAATCAAAATATCACGACGACGGACGATTGCTAGTAGATTGTAGGTTATTAATCAATTATAGTTATTATTTAATTATATCAATCATTTTTAATATTAATTAGTCGTCTCTGAGTCACAGCATTCATTTAAATATATCAGTTGGACTATGTGCTATTTATTCTTTTTGTTTTCATTTCTATAAAAAATATTTACAATAATAGTAGTATATTTTCTGGTACCTTTAATTCTTAGTAACTACGTCTGTTAGTGATCGTGTGACTTCGGAAAGATTTCACCAATTCATATGTACATCATATATTGTGTTAATAGCATATTTTGCTTAGACATGTTCTTTCTGGTTAATGCAATAGGTGACGCTGTAGTCAAGTCTTTAATAAATTCTATGTTTAATGATCAAAGTTACTCATATTCAGAAAATATTTTACTTAAGTGGCAAACAATCTGGGCTCAATATATGACGCTGTGGTTAATACATAAATAAATTTTATTTACACTGTAAAATGTCTGGAGTTCAGCCGTGTTGTGCCATCTACTGAAAAGGGTACAATGTCTGCCGTACCAGCTAGTTAGTAATTATAAAATCAAAACCAATATGCGTGTGATGTGCGTTGAAAGAGACACGTATGCGATAGCACCGCGCTATGGACGTGCCCTATCTTAATTTGAGCAACGCTCGTAGCTTGAGAAATTATAAAGAGTAATAGCGATACGCCATGAAAGTTGTGAAAGCAAATTTCAAAACCAAGTTATATTTTATTAACTATGCATTCTAATAGAGTGTTGATCGCGTAAGCAAACCATCACCGAGTTTCGGCTCGTGGGTATGTTAACGGGCGACTATAGGACATACCTGAACGGAATCATTACAATTTAATACATGGTAGAGTCACGCTGCAGCTATATTATGGTTGTAGCACAAATGTGTTGGCTAAACAGGAGAAGAACCATGTTCTCATAGAATATTAGCGTGAAATAGCGGCTTAATGCTGCTGTGTCTCGTGTAGAGAACCTGAGACCCTTTTACTGGAAACGAGGCATACCACCTTAGTCCTCAGGGGTGACAACGTATCTGCATTTTGATTCTTAATCGAGGGTAAATGGACCACACCGTCGACTTACCATCAGGTGGACTGTGTTCTGGTTTGTCACTCTTATTCTATATAAAAAATGGTAATAACCATCTTGTT